CTGGTCCAGGCCAGGTAGGGGGCTTGTCCTCTGCCAATAACGTACTGCATCAACTAGCCACGCTGTATGAGCTCCTCGATTTGCCTCTTGAGCTCATAGCCGTCATCAGTGTCGTGGCCATGGTCACGGTGAAAGCAATAATACCTGCTATGATTTATGCATTTTTGGGGCAGACTTTATATTTTCGGGCCTGCGGAGCGTGGGGTCATCCTGTATTTGGAATAGGGTGTGCTCCACCGAGACATTGAGTGACGTGAAAGGCTGTCGTTCTCTCATGGGGGTACGGACTGAGACAGTCCTTGATAGAGACTATTTCGGTTCTCTTATTTTTCGCCTCTCACTTGTCTTCGTGGGTGTCTTTCCTTTTCTCTCTTCCCCGGGAGGACTCACTTCTCGAGCCTTGGTGACATCCTTGATGTTCATGTACTTTTGTGCCATTGATAGCAACTTGAACATGTTGGATGACAACTTCTTAAGGATGGAGAACATAAAACTAAAAGTGCGAAGACCGGCGATAAAGGTGGTTAGGGTTACCTTATCATCTGGTTCCTCAATTTGGAGAGCCTCCTTTTTGAAGCGGGTGAGGTACTCCCTGAGGCTCTCATCCCTATCATGTTTGATGGTGAGCAGGTGAGTCACTAGTTTCTGATGTCGGTGCTCCCCAATGAAGTGGGTGACGAAGGATGTGCTCAACTCCGCAAAGGAGTGAATTGAAAAGGGCTTGATTTTTGCAAACCATTGGCATGCGGACCCTTTGAGGGTGGTAGGAAAGACTCTACACATAATCTCCTTAAACACGTTGTGGAGTTACATGAGGGATTTGTAGGTGTCCAGGTGGTTGAGGAGGTCTTTGGTGCCGTCGAAGATCTCGATGGTAGGCATCTTGAACTTCGAGGGCAAGGGATAATTGACTATATCAGCAATAAAAGGTGCATCAATACGTCTTACCAAGTAGTCTACTGTCTCGGGCGCCTGTGCCCTGATGGCGTTAAGGGCATCACCAAGTTGGTTTTGCACTTCTTTGATCTTCTTGTCTCATTGATTAGGGACATCCTCAGTCAGGTGGTGATACTGGTTTTCATGGTCCCCATATTGGTTTTCTCCGTCTTCGTTCTCTTATGCTGTTATGTGTAGAGGGGAAACACGTGAGCTCCCTGTGCGCTGAGGAAGGAGTGACGGGCGAGGGGCGCCCAGATGTGGTCTTGGGGCGTTCTGGCAAGGGGCCCCATGGTGAGGGGCTGTCTGGCGCCTAGAAAGGATGAGTTGCTGCTCCTCTCCTGTTGGAGGGAGTAAGGTTCCTCCTACACGGTAAGGGGCGGCGCCTCCTTGGCGAGCATCAACTGAATGATTTGCTGTTTTTGCTTTACCAGCAGTTGCATAGTCTGTAAGAGTTACTGTTGCCTGGCCGCGAGAGTCGCAGTTGCAGATGGTTCAGAGGGTGCGAGGGGAGGCGGAACCTCCTCCCAGTGGGCCGGGTTATTGTCTCCCGATTTCTAGTTCATTGATCTGGTAGTGATTTCCATGGATTGAATAAGAGTATGAAACTAGTCGGTTCCCACAGACGGCACAAAACTGATGATGCACAAATCGGTATCGCGCAAGATCAACAGTCAAATATATGAACGGGTGTATTTAATGAGTCAATAAACAGACAATCAGTGATAAAGCAGTAAATAATTAGTGGGCACAAAGATTTATAGTGGTTCGGTCCAGGTGACCTACTCCACTCTTGGGAACGACAGTGGTGGCTTGAGATGTTTTATTGATGAATAAAGTCTTCGGGAGAGTATGCTCCAGGAGTATTACAATGGTGAAGAGAGAGAAGCAATGTGTGTAAGGAGGTGTAATGTGTGTAGGAATCTCAAAGACATGTCCTTTATGCGGAGAGGACTTACATTATATAGGTTTAATAAGGCGGTGAGGCGGTGATGTGAGAGAGAGGACTTCTACTATTTTGATAAGCACAGTTATGGTAGGATTAGATTTCCGCGCGTATTTTGATATTCTCTTCTCGTACTCCTATTCAGTTGAAGGAGTTTCCTGAGTTGGACTGGGTTTGGTCTTAATCTTGGACTTTGAGTTGGAGTATGCTTGGACTAGTCATTGAAGTCCAAAGGATGGAGGAGGACCAATGGCAGCCTTGGGCGGCGCCTGGCTTGGTTTAACCCCCTGGGTGACGCTTCTTTGGCTCCTCTCTTGGGCGTTCGCTTCCTTGGTGCTTTGGATTTCCTCCTGATGGGTTGACCCAACTTCAATTGGGCTCTCCTTTGATCTTTGTCGGTTTATTTAATTGGGCTCGGTCCAATCAAATTCGGGCTCATCAAATTTAATTTCTTTTTATGAAAGATATATACTGAATCAAACATACAAATTTCATAAATTTAGGAAAATCAATAAATCTAATTTCATACACCACCTCTAAAAAAAATGTAACCTTTTGAAAGAGAAACTTATTAATAAAAATATTTATACTAATTTATTTTTTGATGAATATCTATACCATTAATGAAGAGAAGAAAAATTTACGGTGTCCTCTTTTTATTAGACAATTAATTATCAGTTACTTTTTATTAAAATTTTACCCTCCTTGACTTTCTCTCACTTTTCTTAATTGTCTATCTTTTATTTTTATTATTTGTTTGTATATCTTTTAAATTTTGAGTAATGTTAAATGAATTTAAAAACTAAACTTGATAATCTCAACCATTGAATAGATAGTGGATTCCAATAAATACTGGGACCCATAGAGAAATCAATGGTTATAATGATCAAGTTTAATTTTAAAGTCTACTTTTTAAGTCTATATAGCATTGCTCTTTAATTTTTGAGTAATATTATGTTGATCTAAAAATCAGACCCAATTTGTTGACATAATGATGTGGTTTCAGTAGAAGTATTGAATTAATATCAAATTTCAATGTTTGATGGGTCCCACAGCCAATCCAAAGGTCATAGTGAATTAGATCAATAAATTATGTCTCAATAACATTATTCTTAATTTTTTAAGGTACATTACATTCGAACCCTTAAGATATGTCACTTAATTACATGTACCTCATGATATTTGGAATATCACATGCAAACCACTTAAAAGTTTGTACTCATGTATCACCTAGACACTTGTTATTAGTGTTAGTTAATATACACATTCCAATTTCATGATGTCATCATAATATACAAATATAATTTCAATTATATCCTTTATTGTTTGAGGCTCAATGTCAATTGTTTATGAATAAATTACACTTGGATCTTCTATGATTTATCACTTAATAATGTAAACCCCTCACATTATACTCAAGTCTCTCTAAAGTTTGTGCTCGTGTAGGCATAGATCCTTGGTGTCAATGTTTAACAATAAATTCATTAAAATTTTATAATGTCATCATAATATGCCATCATAATTTCAATATTACCCTTTTTCATGTGAGGCCCAATATCAAATGTTTACCTTAACTATCCTACCATTGCAAAACCTCATTAGGATATTGGAGTTGAAGAATGGGTATCTAAAGTCACACATTTGGCATATGAAAATGACAAATGATTATTTTCTGTCTATTTCTAATTTTTTTTTATTTATAAATCAAGTCTTGCTATTTATATGGATAAATACAAAAGATGCTTGCATTGATAGTCTCAAATATCATCATTTTGTTATTCCTATTAACTACATTTCATTCAGACTCTGTAGTCATGTTGGTTGTTTTATGTTGTATATTGCAACAAAAAAATTAAAAAAGAATCAAAAAATGTAAGCCCAGTTTCTTAATACTGTCTCTCTTCTACATCTGTATTTACTATATATACTATAACAATCAATTTAAGAGATGGTGTTAATGAAAATTTTTCTTATGAAGTATTATATTTTTTAAATTTTAAATTATTTAATAACAATATATTGATCTCATCAAATTAAATTATTTTATATAATTTACATAACTACTCTGACAAACTATTTTATTTTATCTTATTTAATTTAGCACAAAAAAAATTACTTTTCAAACATATAAGGGTAAAGGTTGAGGTGCAATGAGGGTGGTGGGTGACGGTGATGGTGATGGTGATGGTGATGGTAGAAGTGAAAGAACTTTGATGAGGGAGATTGAAAAAATTGTGTATCAAAAGGGTCGTCCCTAATATACATAGATTTACGGAGTGTTGGTATGGCGTGAGGGGGCCATGCTCCCCCTGCATTTTTTACAATCTACAAATATATAATACAGTCAATGATCACAATTTCTTTTAGCGTTTAAAACGTTTCTGTTTTTAAAGAGACAGAAATGAATCAGTGTTAAAATCGAAATTCAAATATTTTAAGGTGTTTTATAATATTTAGAGGCGTTTTGTAATATTTTAATATATTTGCACAATTATTTTTTAGAATGTTTAAATGTATTTTAAAATATTTTGGTATATTTTAATCAATATTTTAGAAAATAAATTCTGAAATTTTTTATTTTTTATTTTTTTATTTTATTTCTGAAATAGGTCGAAATATTTTTGAAACATATCAAAAATTTTTTTTTAGATGACCAAATCGATACACTAAAATAAAATTTTAATTCTAAATTAAAGTATTGAGTCTACCAGATATGAGTTTTAGTAGCCCGGGGTTCAGAAAAAAAAAAAAAAAAAAAACTTCTGGTTCATAGACTTGACCCCATATTCGAGTTGAATAGTTTTTGCTTCCACCTATTTGAATGTGTACGATAGTTATTATTTTCGGGCGCAATTCGAATTTTTGTTTATCAGAGTCCCGGTCCATAAAATTTGGCCCTTTTCAAAAATAAAATTTTGATTCCGTGCATGTAAGCAAGTACATACTGTGTGTGTGTGCACCGACCATAATGTAAACATTATTGGGATGGAACTATTTTGCTTACAGAGTAAGGAACGTGTAAAAGACCAGTCCGAGTCCGTTTATTGACCTCCCATTATGCTTGTTTGTAATAACTATAAATACCACTCGTGCGTTGTTTGAACTGTCTGACCCAATTCTTTTTCTTTCAAAAGCTTTCCGATCAGACATCCTCAACAAAAACCTGGGAGTTCAGGCCAAAAAAAAGCTACAAACTGGTCAAATCCAAAATGGGTTTTGTGGGTTTACTCCAATTTTCATTGAAATGCTTCGATGTTCTTGCCTGGTGATTCTTCTATTTTCTTACCACCAAGAAAATTTTGGAAAATAATTTGATGTTATTCTTCAAAAAGAAAAGAAAATGTGCTTTTTAGGTTCATATTTTCTATTTCTCTTCAGTGTTGAGCGATCCAACTTTCACTGCATATCAGATCCAAAGAGGAATTCACTTCACATATGTGTTTTTTGTGACATTATGAAGTTAATTGGTTCTAAGCTGATAGTATACTTGTTGTTGTGCATTTTGTACGTGTGTATACGTTTACATATTCTTACACGGCTTTCTTTTACTTGCAGGCCTCTAGTTGCTTTGGTCTACCCTCTGTAAGTCTGTCTCTCTCTCTCCACATTTGATGAGGGAAGAGTAAAGTTGTCTACCTGCTTATACTGTTGATGAATATAAGTTTTGAGTTTTACTTGTTTGGTTTACTGTTGATTGTGTAATTAATTTCACTTTAATGTTTGTGATGGTGCTAATTACTCTCTCTCTCTCTCTCCACATTTGATGAGGGAAGAGTAAAGTTGTCTACCTCATACTGTTCATAAATTTAGTTCTTGGGTTTTAATTTTTTTTTTTTGGGTATAATTTTGACTGTTTAATTGATTTAACATTGTTGTTGGTGGTGGTACTAATTATTTGTTCTTGGCAGTTGTGCTTCGGTTCGGGCAATTGAGACCAATTCAAACTATCACATGCGGAAATTGGTCTCATATTGGGTTCTTTTTTCTTTGATTTCTCTCTTTGAACTTGCTTTCGTGAGAGTTATTGAATGGTAATTAGTTTTGCTATCCTCTATTGTACATACTTTAAGCTTTCATCTGCTATGCTCTATTGTCTCATTTGTGTTTTATGTAAATCAGATTTTGTCAAAAATGCTGAACACAAATCCAACTCTTTATAATGTGTGTAGTCGTGTTCGTATAGTGTATAGTCGAAATGGTGTCAGCCTAGGTAAGCATGACTGGTGGCTCGTTATGATCCAGAACTGTTAGACACTAAACCATGCCTAGTAAACGTTGTCCCAATTTCGTGTTGGATTAGTGGGTTATGTCAAGAATTTTTAGTCCTAAATTCCACTCCTTCAAAGTCAGATTCCGTGTGTTAATGAGTCAAAAACAGCAATATCCTCTCCCACCCTCTCCTCCAGAAGCTGCATTTTGGCTGTTCATATTGAAGTAAACATTCACTGGCCTCCCCAAATCACAGCTTATTTATGCAGTAGTCGTGACATTTCTTACATGAACAATTTCATGAAGATACAATACTTTCACCTATTCTGCAGATTACATGCGGTCCTGGGCTCCTGCTAAACTGTATTACCTTTCATATACATCCTAAAACGTTCCGGTTTTATGGATATCCCAAACCATCACAGTTTTGCCCCCATCTCAGATTGCTGCATTTGCTCCCCTTTCCAAAAGATATTACCAGCGGCATAAAACCCAGCATCTTTGATACCCAATTCTGTTTCTGGCGGGAAAAAAAAAAAAAGAAACATCCATCCCGATACAGCATTTTCGCACCCTTCTTATAAACGTTTTCCATCCACTCTAGAAATGTAGCATCTTGGTCCATCTGCATAACCTTTATTCTGCCAAAAATGCAAACTTTTGTTGTTAGTTGCATTATGCTCACTAAATTTTTAATTTTGTGTCATGGACACCCTTAAATTCGTTTTATTTGCAGTTGAATGAAATTGGTGCCTTGTTATCTTTTATTCTACTTTAGGTTCTAGTTAGAACAAAAATACTACCACATGGGTGGAGTTAGAAAACTGCGATAGTGGGTGCAAATTTTAATGATAAAAAATAAAAAATTGAACCACTAATACATAAATTTATTGATTAGTAATACTTTTATTCAGTTCATCCATGATTGCTCTAGACCAGTTTTCATATTGTAAAAACAGTACATGATAACCTCATTATTAATGCCATAAAAAACTTCATAGTCATAAAATAACTAATTTACTATTCTAATCAATTGTTGCTATTGGATTGATCTCAACCTTAGTTGGGATCCATTGCTAATCAAAGGGTAACAACAGATTAGGTTAGCTAATTAGATAAACAAATCAATTCCAAATAGTATCATCATTCTTAATGTATCCCAAGCAAATACTATGAGTGTGGGTGAGCGAGACATAAGGAGGGAGACAACAAATAGCTTTTGGAATATTTCTTGAGAACATATTGGGCTGATTCTACTGATTAAATATTAGTTAAGTTTACCTAATTGAACATTTAGAGATTGAACCCAAATATGAAGAATGATTAAGTGGATTAGTGTGCATGAAAATTTTTTTGATGGGGGCAAGATTGGCATATATATTAAAACATATACAGGAATTTTTTTGCAAAAAAAGAAAGGTTGAGTGGGGGAAGCTGCCCCCACTTAGTTGCATGTAGCTCCACAAGTGCTACTTCATTTAGATGAGTACAAAGATGTAAATGTGAATCAATACTCAGTAATTTCTACTTTCGAACTGCTTGGAGTTTTTCAATAAATGTTCACCTTTGATTTGGGTTTTCTCATCAATGGGTCTAAATTACTCTTCGTTTTCTGTCTATTCATGTCAGGCTACCATTCTGGCCTCAGATAAAGCTAATATTTGTCTGCTGGCTAGTAATACCTCGATTTAACGGTGCATACTATGTCTACAAATGCCTTGTTCATCTGTGCTTATCCATGGACCTACAAGCTGTTGTCGAGTGGTTGAATAAGCCTAAGGATGAGGTCTCTCTCAAACCCGAAACCTTCCTAGCTGTGGCTGAGACATATGTTCAAAAGAATGGTACTGAAGCATTGGAGAAACTCATTGCTAGTAAGGTATCTGGCATGCCTTTATATCAATTAAAATAGGAAGTGGGTTAACTAGAAGTTTAATGGCCTGCCTTGATGACAAGTTTCTATGATGAATGCTTCAAATCAATGCGGACTACATTTTTTGGTGAAAAATTTTTCAGAGCTGTTGCTGTTGATCCTCATGATAATATCTTGTCATTGGTATATATCATACCTAATTGGTCAGCCTATGCATGTAATATTTAATCACAGGATCATTTATTCTGAACTTGATATACAAGCATCTAATATATATGACTGTCTACATGGGCATGCACTTGCATTTGTGTCTCCATGGTTAACTTACATGCACTCATATATATAATCATATTGATTTTTTGGTTTACACTAGAATTTTAAACAATAGACATGAGATTTTTTGTTTTGGATGCACATGGGATATGGATGACAACTCTCTCTGTACTGGTTACTTTTTTCTTTCACTTCAGTCAAAGGATTCAAATTCCATTCTCATTGTGGAAGAAATCAAGTCAGTTGCAAATGCAGAGGAGAAAGAAGTGGCGACAATAATCCAGGTAATGATTTTAATGTTGCCGCTCCTAGATTCCACAAAATAGTATATGCATATTTTCTGATAGCCAAGTGGTTGTAATCTTTTTAGATGGATTTTAGAGACACCCTTAGTTTTAAAGTGAAAAAAGCATAGTACTACATTTGCATTGTCATGGTGTCGTCCACAGCCATTTCATTTTTAGACATATGATATAAGTAAGTAAATGGACTAAAACCATGTGGTTTCAAGCCACTCTCATCAATGAATGGGCACCTATGGAACTGTAACTTTTGAAATCTAGCACCAGTGTCATTGAAAACACATCAATTATGCCTTCGATTTATATTAATCACTGAAGTTGCATTTATTGTTTTAATATTTTATGGAGAGAAAATGATGACTGATGTCATGTATTTTTATGTAGAATGCATTACTTAATATACTTAATTATCCTGTTTACCTTTTTCTCTTTTTGCTGTCAAAGTGCAATGAGCCAAACATTGTTCAGAATGATGTCAAAACTTTGAAATCAAACGAGAAAAATGCAGCAGCATCAGCCGCAGCCGCAGCCGTGAAATCGGTAAGGTCTCTATTAATGGGTATTGGGAAACTAAGTTTCTAAGGTTTCTCAATATGCTCAATTAGCTGTGTTTACCTTCCACTTTTTTTTTTGCTTGCTATCAAAGTGCAAAGAGCCAAACATTGCTCAGAAAGATGTCAAAGCTGTGGAACCACCAGAGAAAAATGCAGCAGCGGCCGCAAAAAGGGTAAGTAAATAGAGAAAGAGACAATAGAGAATGATTGTATTACAACATAATAGAAAAATGCATACAAAAGACCCTTATATAGTAGGGCAACATAAAAGAATAAAAGGGCTAAACGACCCTTAAGATTAAATATTCTAACTACTCTAATACCCTCCCTCAAACTCATGATGTGCTAGCAGAAAACATCAAGAGTTTGCCAAGAAGAAAACGAAAGCGAGTAATAGTATGCGATTTTGTAAAATAATTTACTAACTGCATAGTGGAAGAAAGAAAAGGGAGGGAGATAGTGCCCAGCTGAAGATGATGATGCACAAAGTGACAATCAATCTCAATATGCTTTGTGCGCTCATGAAAGACTGAGTTATGAGCAATCTGAATAACACTAGTATTGTCATAATACATAGGAGTCAGTGCAGGTAACATGATGCCAAGATCAGCAAAGAGCCATCGTAACCAAACTATCTCAGTTACAGTAGATGCCATAGCACGATATTCAGCTTCAGCAGATGAACGAGAAACAACAGTTTGCTTCTTGCTTTTTCAAGAAACAAGAGAATCACCAAGGAAAATACAAAAACCCGTAATGGACTTACAGTCCATAGAGTCACCAGCCCAGTCAGCATCAGAATAAACCCTGAGTTTCATAGAAAAAGAGGAGGAGAATAACAAACTCTTGTGCAGAGTACCTCGAAGATACCGAAGAATATGAAGAACCGCAGCCCAGTGAATAGTGGTGGGTGAGGCAACAAATTAGCTAACAATATGAACAACATAGGAGATATCCGGACGAGTGACTGTAAGATATACTAAACTCCCAACAATATCACGATAGAGCGTAGGGTCAGACAGGGGAGTACCATCAGAAGAAGAGTAACGAACATTGAGCTCTAAAGGTGTTTCAACTATCCGATTATCTGATAAATGAGCTCATTGAATAACATCTGAAGTATACTTGGACTGAGAGAGAAGATATCTTTTAGGAGAGGATGCAATCTCAATACCCAAGAAATATCTAAGCTGTCCCAAATCTTTTATCTCAAAATAGTTCTGCAACTGAGTTTTCAATAAGTATATGCTAGCAGTGTCATTACCCATAATAATCATATCATCAACATATAGTAAGAGAATAATAGAACCTGAGGAAGTAGACCGTAAAAAGAGAGCAGAATCATGGTCACTAGCGTGAAAATTCAAGTCACAAATAACCGAAGAAAATTTGGCAAACTATGCCCTAGGAGATAATCCAAGAGGAGTCATAAAAACCTCTTCACTTAAATCTCCATGAAGAAATGCATTTTTCACATCCATCTAAGACAAATTCCATTGGCGAATGACAGCAACTGCAATCACAGTGCAAATAGTGGTCATCTTTGCAACAGGGGCAAAAGTCTCATCATAGTCTATACCATACTTCTAAGCAAAATCCTTGGTTACTAATCGAGCTTTATACCTTTCCACAGAACCATCAGACTTGGTTTTTATCTTATAAACCCACCTACAACTAATGGGGCGTTTACCGGGTGATAAAGGCACTAGTTCCCAAGCTCTGATCTTATGTAAGGCAGACAACTCTTCTTCCATAGCCTGTTTCCAAAGTGGATTGTAGGAGATGGGTTCAGATAAGGAGTAAATAGAAGTAAAGAAAGAACAAAAGTCAGGAGAATAACAAGTGTTACTCCAATCAAACCTATCTGGATATTTGCGAGAGCACTGAGGATAGCGCGGGGTATGATCCACATTGTCTAAACCTGATTGGGTGGCAGGAGAAGAAAGGGGAGGCACCACATCTGTAGAGGAGATAGCTGAATTCCTACGAACATATATATGCACAATAGGGGGACGAGTGATGGGCACATCAGAAACAGTCATATCACCAACATAAGTGTCAGAGGGAACATCAGCCAGAAATGAGTCAATATAAATGAGATCAATTTATGGAAATGTGAAGAACTAGATAGAATAGAAAAGAAAGGAATATGCTCCATGAAAATAACAGGACGAGAGACATAGAGTTTGTGTGAAACAGGATTATAGCAACGATACCTCTTTTGACCCTCAACATAATCAAGGAAAATACATTAAGCTGAACGAGCAGAGAGTTTAGCACAAAAAACACTAGGAAGTAAAACAAAACAGGTGCACCCAAGTACACGCAAAGAGAAATAATCAGGTGGTTTACCACATAGTTTTTCAAATAGAGAAATTCCAGAGGTGATGACAGTGAGAATAAAATTAATCAGATGGACTGCACTAAGAACTGCTTCCCCCCAAAAAGAACTTGGGACAATAAGAAAGAGCGTGTTGTCTCTATAATATGTCGGTGTTTGCGCTCTGCTACACTATTCTGTTCAGGTGTATCAGTACAAGAAGATTGCCAAACAGTACCATCAGATTTTAATAGATCAAGAAAAGAGTTGAAAAAATATTCTCCTCCTTGGTCACATCGAAAACATTTAATAACAGATAAATATTGAGTACGTATCATAGCACGAAAAACATTGAATACAGAAAAGAATTCAGAACAATGTTTCATGAGATAAACCTAACAAAATCTAGTATAATCATCAATGAAAGAGACATAATATTTTGACCCTCCTTTTATAAGAATAGGAGCCGGTCCCCAAACATCAGAATGAACCAGATCAAAAGGTGCAAGTGAGCTAGTGGAATTTTTATTAAAAAGTAATGTAGTAAATTTAGCTAACTTGCATCCACTACAACTGGAAATATCATGACACTCTAAATTACCCAAATTCCCAGTAGAGGCTAAAAATTTTAAACGAGTGGGACACTTGACCAAGACGAGAATGTCACAAATAGAAACTAGAAGACTGTGGACTTAAATGAAAAGAAGATATATCAATAGTAGAAGCAACAATGTCAGGAATATGTAACTCGTCTAACACATACAATCCTCCCTTTCTACTACCTGTCCCAATCAGTTTTTTGGAACGTGGATCCTATACAATACAACCAGAAGAGGAAAAATGAACTGAAAATCCAGAGTCAAATAGCTGACTGACTGAAATTAAATTGATGGTAAGTTGTGGAATATAATAAACATCAGGAAGTGTTAAGATGCGGAGAAATTATAGATCCAACACTAGCTAATGACAATTGTGTACCATTAACTTCAAGCACAGAAACTGATGGAGGAGAAAAGGTCGATGCAAATAAGGAAGAATCACTAATCATATGATGGGTAGCACCTGAGTCAAAGACCCAGGTGGTTCGAGATATACCTGAAGGACCCAAAGTGAACGAACCTATAGAATGTGAGATGGAGAGAGTATTAGGCTGTTGAAGGAGCTCCTGCAATTGATCAACAATCTTAGTCAATTTTAAACTAATTGACAGATGAGAGTCAGAATTGTCGCTCACCATAATTGTCACTAGTCAAAAATAACAACAATCAAATTAACAGAACCAATTCCAAATCACCAATCTCAACTGAAGTTCAAAGGCCCAGCAAGAATAGAAGCCAAACTGACCCAACAATTACAGCCCAATGGAAAATCAAAGTCCCAGCTGGAAGACAATAGTCAATCAATCAATCCAACAGCCCAAACAACAAATATCAAACAACCCAATAGCCCAAAGTAATAAAGAACAACAAAATTTCAGCTCAGTTCAAACTATCAGTAACTGCAATCACAAAGCAGCGAACAGGAGCAACGAACAGACCCAAAGCAGAACAATAGCAGCGAAAAACGACAAAACTAAGTAGGCAACAAAGTCTTCCAGCAAGCCAAGGAGAGAAAAATATTCAAAACCAGCAACAACGAAGCAACAGAGCAATAACCAAAGCTAAAATTCTGCACAAGCTCACAACCTGCATGGGCCACCAATCGCTCACACCTCACACCCACAACTAACAAACCAACAATTAACAGATCAAAGAGCAGTAACAGACAAGGTAGGAAGATGGTGTGAGCAGCAGAAAGCAGAAGCCAAAGAAGAAGTGATAAACCAGTCGTTATAGTGTTTGCCGAAGGAGGAAATCAGCCAAAAATCCCATTCCTTTGCATCAAAAACCAGTTCAAAATGCTTCAAAGCATCCAATTGAACACCAAGGAGGCAATATACTAAAAAAAAGAGGCACTAAAAATTGAATTCGGCACTGTTCACAGCATAAACAGTAATGTCGGCACTGCTTACAACATGAACAGTGTTTTCGACACTGTTCACAGCCCCTTAGAACCACAAATAGCAACCGACCTATCACTAGCCCTCAAATCACACAACCCAAAAATATATTCTTCTTCCAACTAAATTACTGTGGTGCTACAATATATATTTTGGATCGAGACTATACTCTGATACCATGTAAACTTTGATAAAAGCAAAGAGAGAAAGAGAGAAAGAGAAAAGACAATAGAGAATGATTGTATTACAACATAATAGAAAAATGCATACAAAAGGCCCTTATATAATAGGGCAACAAAAAATAATAAATGGACTAAACTACCCTTAAGACTAAATATTCTAACTACTCTAACAGTGTTTACCTTCCACTTTTTTTCTTTGCTTGCTGTCAAAGTGTAAAGAGCCAAACATTGGTCAGAAAGATGTCAAAGTTGTGGAACCACCAGATAAAAATGCAGCAGCGGCCGCAAAAAGGGTAAGTCTTCTATCAATGGGCACTAGGAACTTAGTTTCAAAGGCTTCTATTAATGGGTACTAGGAAGCCAAGTTTCTATGTTTTGGAAAGAATTTCTAAGTCAGCTGTCTGAATGTGGGGAATGCACTTGGATTGCCCGGTTCTGATGTTTTTTGATTAGTAATGCAACACGAACAATAGTGATGATATGCAGTGAAACTGGGTTATAATATATCAAATTCTCTTCACATTCATCATCGTTGTTGCCTTTTCCAGATTCATTTATTACTATCAATTTTGTCCCGACAAAACATGAAAAAGTTTTTTGATGTTTTAGCTATCTTACATCATTTTGCACATCAGCTTCTTGGTAGTAGCTGTGTTCTTTTATTGTTCCTAAATAGGGAAACTATAGATTACCCACCAGTGGTTTGAATCAGTAATGTGTTACCTCCTCCATATCATTAATATTATAAACTTAACCCCTATGGTTTTCGACAAAACTCGAACTGTAATTAATGGTTAAAGTTCAAAATCAACATTTTTAGTGAAATAAAGTGTTAAAATGACTTTTATAGCATTATAAATTTTATGTTTCTTATTTTTCTTTAAAATAAACCAATTGTTTTTATTTTCTCTTCCATTTTATGCATAAAACATATTTTTAAATGTGTATAAAAAATTCACAAAGAAAAACAATTAAAAATTAAAAACACGGTGAACGGTATTACTATCTTTTTTCTACTAAATTGCTGAACTCCAACATTGGTTCCAAACCATGGTGTCATGTATGGGTCTTTGAAGCACAAGGAGGTAAAGTGTTACTGAATGAAACCATGGAGACCTAATTTATAATTTGCCATTTCTAAATTAAGCAGAACCAGTGAACAAACATGGTCATCAACCTTGCTTAGCAACTTCTACATTTTAATCATGCTAACTCCAATCCTTTTCAGACTAAGAAGAAAGTAGTTGCAGCGGTGGAGGTCAAAGAAATGACAGAGCCAGCAGCTTGTAAAGAGGACAAGCTTCCGGAGCCAGCTGCCCTGAAGAAAGTTCAGAAAGAGTGGACTTGTGCTCTATGCCAGGTGACAACCGCATGTGAGGCAAACTTGAACAGCCATCTTCAAGGGCAGAAACATAGGGCAACGTTGGATGAGCTCAAAGCTAGTAAGCAGGCAGCCAAAAACACGGGTTCTTCATGTTTGACACCAAACAAATCAGATCAAGCCAAAAAGGAGTCAATCAAGTGTGTATCTAGGGATAAGCCAAGCAAATATAAGACTGCAGAACAAGAGTTAAAAATGCCGGTGAATAGCAGCAACAGTGAGCAATTTAAGCAGAGAAGTACTAATACTAGTAATGCTGGGACGAAGCTGTCTAAACGGTGGTGCAGTATCTGTGATGTAAGGTTCCCCGGAGAGATTGACATGGCCGCTCACCTCAATGGAAGTAAGCACTTGTCTCGGATTAAAGAGATGTTAGATCTTTGTGGTGGCGAAAAAGGGTGGGAGTGTGGTATCTGTAATGTAAGGTGTTCCGCAGAGAGTGTCATGGTTGGTCATATTAATGGAAAGAAGCACTTTTCCCGGGTTGAACAGATGCTCAATCCTGTAGGTGGCCAACCGGGGTTTTGCAGTATCTGTAATGTAAGGTGTTCCGGAGAGATTGACATGGCTGCTCACCTTAATGGAGGGAAGCACTTGTCCCGGATTCAAGAGATGATCAATCCTCTGGTGGTGGCCAATAAGGATGGGATTAAGGTGGTGGCTCAGTAGTATATCACTAATGCCTAAATTTCTGTTGTTTTAGAAGTTGGAATGAAAATGGAAAGATTTTTGGATGGATGATGTGCATGACCTAGTGGTGCATTGTAAGCTTTGATATTCACAAGTGAATCCTGAATTTAGTTTTTTTGGCAGATAAATTGTCTAAAGATGGAGATATTGAGCCTCTTTAGAATTTGATTTTTTTAGATGAAAAGTTATGGTTTAAAAAATTTCACAAAAAAAACAAAGTTAAAAAGTCTCTGAAAATCTTTTGGGGTGTTTTTTAAAAAATTGGAAAAGTCCGGTTGGAGAGACATTTTTAACTTTTTTGATGTTTTGTGTCTAAATAAAAAAATAATTATATGTATGTATAGATTATACGTAATAATTTCCAAAATATGAATTTCAAATTTTTTTACTTCACTAATAATATTTCATGAATACAATAAACTAAAAAGTTATGCAAGATCCGTGATAAAATTTTAAAAAATTAAAAGAAAGTTCATAAGATTAGCTTCTTGAATCAACTTAAATAAGTTTTTTTTGGTCCAAAAAATATTGGCATAAGCCGGTAAAAAAGTTACCTAAGCTACCTTAATAGAGGCCCATTATTGTATTATGATAAAGTGTTGAATAGTCTATCATCATTTAAGGCTCTGCATTTTAATCCCTTTATTTTGATTCTTCCGGTATATATTGTCTAAAATTTTTTGGATGTCAAATCTTTGTCTACAAATTCAAGTAGGATTTAATGCATATGCCTAGATTTCCGAGCAATACACAATGAAGTAACTTGTGTGGTCTAATTTTGAATTTTTTGAACCGGCTCAAATTTCTTTTTATTATTTTTTAATTTTTTGATAAGCAACAATAGAAAAGTGCCGATAATAAAAATTAAACTTTTGACCTGCCACTCTATTTTAGTGGAAGCAAGGGTTCGAGGGATTGTGCATTAAGTCTTCTTTTTTTAGTTTAATTGTTTGACCGATATTAGCCGTATAAAAGTAAGGCTTTTTTCAATTCAACTCAACTTAACAAAATCTTGTTTGTTTAAAAAATAAATAAATATAAGTCTCGTCCTAAAAATTTTAGAGTTACATAAAAAAACAATACTACGATTAGGAAAGGAAAAATATAGAACGATTTGATTACTCGACAATAATCGATATGAAATTAGTGAGTCTGAATTTAACCTTAACGAGTTCGAATGATAAATGGGCAGACCATGAAACTCGTATGTTACACAGGGCGTATTTGGATGAAATATATCAATATGTTTATCCATCGTTTAAATAAGTATGCATAGGAATTGGGTCTAGAACTTGTTCAATTTTAATTTCAGCCCAACCCATTAGCAGTTGTGCACTCCTTAGTTGCCCTAACATTGTTGATGAATATGTTGGATGCATGAATTTGACGTGTATATAATTTCTATGATAACATGTCTATAATTATTATGGGTTGAATGATTATCTTGTGGACTTTAAATTGATCTAAAAGACCCATTTAATTGGGGGTTACATGGGTCTTGCTTTGTTTTTTTTTTTTTCACCCATGTAATAAATGGCTCAAATATAATGGGCTATAAAATCTTGGGCTGCCTGGTTTTTGCTTCAATTTGGAAGTGCAATCTTAACTCATTATCCATTAATCTCTAACCTACTTATAAATAAATGAGTTGGGTACTTATATTAATTAATATGAATTCTAAATGGATTGAGTAATATAATTTATTTTAATAAAATGGGTTAATATGAATTACAAATGGGTACCTATTAGGTTGAATATTTATCTTTTTATTAAATAACACAAATAATAAAATTAAATAAATATACTAATAAACCAAAAAATATATACACACATATACCCTAATACACCAAAATAATAAACACACTAGTACACAAAAAACACACACTAATACACCACTCATGACCCACAGCCATGGGTTGACCCATGACTCGTGGGTCGACCCATAAACACGACCCACAAACTAACCCATAGCCCACAATTGACCCGACTCATTATGTGTATATTTTTTTTATTAAATATGTTTTAATTTTTGTGTTAGTATATGTGTGTATTTTTTATATATTAATGTGTATATTTTTAGTGTATTAGTTTGTGTGTATTTTGGTGTATTATTGTATTTGTGGATATTTGTATTTTGGTGCACTACTAATATGTGTGTGTGTTTTAGTGTACTAATGTGTCTATTTAGAATTTTAATTATTTTTTGAGTTAATCTATTTAATCCAACCGAAACCTATTATAACCTATTTACTAGGTGAGTAAAAATAGATTTAATTTATTTTAGCCCAATTTAATTTAATCCACCTTATAACTAACTCAACCCACCCATTTGGCACCCTTCAACTGGTGCACAGTTTCCATATTCTCACTTAAAATAGTGGTTGCTGGATATTTTTTTTGTTTTGCTGGTTAAAAATGGGGCGGGTACAAAAGAGAAAGTTTAGAGACCACTCGATAGATTTTTATTAGTGGGATCTTGAGGACTTTAATCACGCCTGTTACTACTCTTAAAAACGAACCTAGTTAGACTAGCATAACGATTAAAGCTCAAACTTCTAACCTCAAGGTGAGAAGTTTGACCGATACTTCACTGGACTACTCCGCTCGAGTGTGCTAGATTTGTACAGATGACTTCCCAACAACTCCCCTTTTTTCTCGTTCATTGCTGGTTTATATGGACAAATAGGAATGAGGTTCTTTTCTAAAATTTGAAAAGGGATCTAGCATCTTTACACCAAATCTCATTAGACTACATCAAGTATTATGAACAGGCTATGGACACCCGTAATCAGCCACTAACGAAAAAGGCTGTAGTTCGTTGGTTCGCTCCAGTAGTAGGATATTTGAAAGTTAACTTCGATGGGACAGTGATTGCTTCTGAAGAAGCCATTGGACTAGTAGTATTTATAAGGAATGAGAGAGGTGTTTTAGAGTAGGAATGTCTAAGAAAATTACATCTTTTTTGTTTCGCGCGATCGGCGGAGGTCGTTGCCACAAGCGGAGTAGTTATTTTCGTTCAACAACAAGAGTACAATAATATTATTTTGGAAGATGACTCAGTTAATGTGATGAAGTTGATTTCAGATACAAGTGATAATTTCTAGTCTCTGAATTCTATTCAAGTAGATATTAAGATTATTTTCCATGACTTTAGATACTTTAAGGTGTCTACCGTAAGAAGTTTTAGTAATAAGATAGCATATAGCTTAGCTAGAAAAGCGGTTTCTATCAATTGTTTTGATGTATGGGAGGAGGAGGCACCAAAATTGTTAGTATCCCTCATTACTCTCGGATATTTCTAATTAATCAATCTCCTACCATTTTATTAAAAAAATTACTTAGAAAATATTTATCTCATTTACAAATGTGAAATTCGGCTATTAAGTTAAAATTGGTTGAAGTTAAAAAATTCAATTTGGTTAAACTAGTATCCCAACCTAAGAGATATGATTAATACTAAGCATCGTCATGTTGTGAAGGATAACATCATAATCAATGTGTGGAGGATAAAATTTTACATGAAAAGCACACATCACATTTGCGAATACAACATCCGAGTATGAATTTAATGTTTGTCAAAATTAAATAACTCTTTGTTGTTAAACTAGCGTCCTAACCTGATGCAATATACTTGTGGCCTCATTACTCAAGTTTAATTTATTTGAATTGCTTTGCTCTTACTTGGTAAATTATAGAACAGGTCATATAGTCACTCACATTTGTTTGTTTGTTTACATGTTGATTATATTATTTGTTGTGCTCTTTGTCACTATGTAATGTGCCAAATGAAATGGAACCGAGTATCTTTTAATTCTCTTTTTCACATTTAAGGGAGATATAGTAAGTAAATCTGTCACCAAATAAAATCTTGATGATAACATAAGTTGAATCATATGCGATCTTAATATTTGGCAAACTTTATTTTTACAAAGCATTCGCAGGCCTGTTAAAAAAACAATTATCCAATTAGAGCTAAATTCTAGCAAGTTACATCTAAATTTTAACTTAGTTTTATAGAATATATTACTCAATTATATATATAAACCAAGGTTCAAAATTTCATTTTGATATATTATTAAAAAATTAAGAATTATTTTTTCAAAAAATTAGTTGAAATATATAAAATTATCTTAAAATTAATATCGTAATTAAGAATGACTTAAACACTAGTGTTATATCATAACACGACACCTTTATCAACCAGATGTAAGGGTATAAGCACATCAATTCATTTGACTTTAATAATAATAAGATTCGAATCATGATATTCACTCCTTAATTATCTCACTTTTGCTGGGAGGCTAAAGCACCGATTATGTAAAGAGGGTTGGACAAAGCCCAATCATATGTGCTGTCCATTTGGGAGGTTGGGGCCATTGGGCCTTTAGCCTTAGAATCCAGTTTATACCTGAAAAAAGACTCAATTTATGAAATCCGCCCTAAAAATAAATCAATTTTGATCCAAATTTGTATCCAATTGTCGGATATGGATTAGTAATTTTCAAATTTGAACAAATAAGTTTGGGTTTTATCGGTTGTTTTGAATCTAAATGATAAGATTAAATGTATTGTGATGAATTCTAGCAGCTCAACAAATGGATGTGGAGGAGCAAATTTGGGTGTTCAACATAAATTGAGCATTCGGCTGTTCAATATGAAGTTTAAAACTCTTAATCGATCCTCAATTAGGGAAAACGACCTCAATTTTTCAAACCTGATGAGAATTAAAGCTGAAT